AGTTTGCATAACTTAATGATTCCTAAAAAATATCTTATTATGATTATTAGAAATATTTAACGTCTTATAAAAACTATTATATTGCGTATAACAGTGGTCTTTAATCGTTTTGCCTAACATCTTGTAGACCGGTGGAACTGCTTGGAGTCTGCCAACAGGGCGTAGAGATGGATTGGTTTCACGAGCATCCGATACTGTAAATTTGCCTGCCTTTAATGACCCTATTAGTGTCCAAATCAGCAAGTTTGCTGATAAAAATCTGAACACCCAAGATCTTGTTGCTCTTGTTGGTAAGTAGAGCACGAAATATATAAAGCACACGATAATTACTTTTACATGCAAAACACGTTTAATAGCTTATTAAATTGTGTAATTTTGTGTTCTCCAGGAGGACACACGATTGGGACTGCAGCTTGTGCAGTTTTCAGCTATAGACTATACAATTTCAGTGGTACCAACCAACCTGACCCCGATATAAACCCAGCATTCCTTCCCCAGCTCCGAGCACTTTGCCCAAATGGTGGTAATGCGTCGACACGTGTGGCCCTTGATACAGGCAGTGTCAACCGCTTCGACACGTCCTACTTTGTAAACGTGAGGAATGGGCGGGGAGTTCTTGAATCCGATGCAAAGTTATTGAGTAACCCGACAACACAGACATTCGTACAGAGGTTTTCAGGAGCTGCGGGGGTACCTGCATTAAATTTCAATGATGAGTTTGCAAGAGCCATGGTGAAGTTGGGTAATACTGAGTTGAAAACAGGGAGTCAAGGAGAAATCCGTAGAGTTTGTTCTGCAATCAACTGATCACAATGGGGTTTCATAGAGATGCGTGTATACCAAAGCCCAGCAGATCATATAATATATACTTGTATCCTTCATTTTTAAATTTCATCATCTTGTCGTTTCATAATAATATGTTTCTAGTATCCTCATCTTTCCTAAAAAGGAAAGATTAAATGGACTATATTGTTCAATATGTAAAATGATCAAGCATCAGTTGTGTACTTGTGTGTATCATCTTCTTTCCCATAAAGGAAAGATTAAATAAAATTAGATGGGTTGGAAATGTGTTGATTTTGTTCAACGTCTAATATGATCAACCATCATTTGGTTTAACCGATGAGGGTTTATTTAATTTATCATTTAATATTTGTGTCGGTAACTTGGATGAACTGCAAGATGTATTCGGATTGACCGATCATAAATAAGATCATCCTTGTTCAGTCATTAATAACATCTCGATCTTTTTTTTCATCGAATTCCTTATTTGATTACTAATCCAACTTTATTTAAACCTTTGTTAATATTTTATAAGACTTTAAGCAAACTTAGGGTAGAACTCCAAAAATACATTGATTTTGAAATCATAAAAATTTAGGGGGTGCTTTGATGGGTATTAGAAGCATCTCCAATAGATTTTAACTTTTTGGTTTTTATTTTAAAAAAAAATTATAAATAATCTGTTGGAGATATTTTCATAAGTGGACGAGCCTTTGAAAAGAAACGGGAATATAAATGTTAGTTGGTTCAGTATTATTAATGGTTCCATATTGTGCAAATCAATCAATTCATTGTGAATTTAAATGCTTTCTCAAGCACAAACATGTCATCCATTGCATAGATGGACAAAGAAAATATTTAATGGTTGCTTAATTTGACTATAAAAACACAAAATATTTCAAAGTATTAGTATGGAAAATTGAAAGGTTGGTTTTTTTGTCATTGTTTGAGTCTTAGCTATTAAATAGTTTTATAATATAAGAGGTATACAAAAAATACCAAAATTTAAGATGAAAATTAAGAACTTTGATAAAAGTGGGACTTGCAAATGAGGTTTTTGTACAAAGTGAGCAACATTTTCCAACTCCACCGTTAAAGACTTGCTTTCAGTTTCAAAAACAATTAACAGACGTAATTTTTCCCCCTTATGACGAAATCATGAAACAGTGGCCCATGTCACCATATAATGTTATGTAGGTTTCCCCTATCCAAGGTTTCGATCTATATATTCTACCATTTTTAAGAGGGTTTTGAGTTTTAAGTTTAAATAGTGTATGTATTTTTAATTTGGTCGTGGTTTAATAGCATCTCCTACAGATTTTTCAAAATGGAGAAATGAAGATTTTGAACTTAAATTCAACTCCAACAGATTCCCTAAAAATATCTAAAATGGAGAAAGTTGAAAAGAAATGTTTTTTCTCCTAGTATGTAGATTACCTTAAAAATGATTACCATGTATGAGAAATTCTTTTTAATATATTTTTACCAGTAGTAGGAAACTTTAAAAGTATATATTTAATTATAGAGATAAATAATATTTTTTTAATCAGTGTTGGATTCTCTAAAACAAGAATCTGTTGAAGATGAATGAAATTATTTTTAGAGATTTCAATTTTTGATTTTTCCATTTTGAAGCAATTTTAGGAAATCTGTTGGAGATACTCGTATAAGTTCTCTTATGCTTACATAAGTCAACAAAAAGATATATTGATACTTTAAATGTTTTGATTTATTCTTAAATGTATAGATACAATAGGAATGCTATACAAGCATGTATTTTGTACAAGTTTGATTCAATGAAAATCCATTTCTACACATCCCATATCACATTTTTATGGTTTTCCTACTAATTAAAACTTGAAAAGGGAAGGAACAAAACTATGAACTATGACTATTTTTCTAATAAAAAAGTGACAAACTAAACATTTTATCCTAATAACATTTAATATATTTATATCGCAATTTCAAAATATCTGATTTGTCAAATAATTCATGAAGAAACACTATTGAAATACTCGGCATATAGGTCGGATTTTTTTAGGGAGAAAATTGTTGAAATTTTTGGGCTCATTTTAGAGGGAAATCTTTTAATTTATTTTTCAAAAAAAAGATGAATTTTTGTTGATTTTTTTACGTACAACCGCTTTTAGCGATTTCCTGGAAATCCGCTAAAAATGTTCAACTATGGTTGACCAAAGACACGTCGAAAAGACAATCTCTACACGTCGAAAACATTCATGAGCTTTTTGACGGGATCATTCATCGAAAATATTTTGGGTTCCATCAAAAAGTTTTAAATTCAGTTGAAAATCTTGTTTTTTCACCAAATATTTTCATCGGAATAAGTTGTCGAACACTGAACTTTTTGACAGATTTCGGATGCAAATTTCCGTCTAAGATATCCAACTTGTTTTGTAGTGAAATGATGGCGACAAAGAGATCCATCCGTATATCCATATGACTCGACGTTAATTGGGAATTATTTCCACTTCCCTGTGGTGAATTTGTCTTTATATTGAAGGTGGGGCGACTAGGATTTTGAGAGATTCAACAAGAACATATAACGTGAGGATTGCTTGGATTTTAGATCGTTACTATTTAATGGTGGTTGTCGACAACAGGAGACAAGTTTCAATCGTCCAAAAAACGACCACAAGTTCTTGGCATATATATATTTAATGCACTAGTTGTCAAGTTACATACTACTTTTGGGCTTCCATTATTGTTGAACTACAATCCTACTTCTACTTGCACCATTATATATGCTTTTTTCTTTCACCTAATCATGTTTCATTCTCTTTTCCATGAGAATAAGGCAAAACCATCATTTACTCATTAAGATTTGAAGTGACTGTCTAGAAATTAGATTACTTAATTGTCTTCATTTTAATCTTGATCTATTTGAGAATATAAAGTATAACCCTAACAGCCACAATATTTAAGTAACATTACCTTACTGGATGAATATGACGAAAACCAAGAATCTTACCCGGTAAGAACGAGACAAGGACCAAAAGTCTTACCCGGTAAGTGAGGGTGACGACTCTTATCACGGTAAGCGCTTACCCGGTAAATAAATAATAGTGTTAAATTTTACCAGTAAATACTTACTGGGTAAGTGTTTGGTAAACGGTCCCTAAGATTACAAAGTATAGGCTTCTTTTTTTTTTTTTTTTTGCTAAAGAACAAATCGTGATTGGAATAATCATAAGTAATAAACTTGGTTGTTAAATTATATATCCACAAACTACATTTTTTTAGTGTTTTGAAGAATGACTAACAGCTTTATTAGGACCAATGTAAGTGAGATATAATGTTCTTAACTCTGATTCCACCTTTTAATTCTTGTTAGAACTTGATGATCTTTGTGTTTTTACTTTTTACGAATATGTTGTCAAAGCTTAATTAGCTTAGAGAAACAGGTGTGACATCACCATTTCTTCTTCTTTTTCTTCTCCCTCCTATTGTTCACAAAGTAAACGTGAACATAGTCTAATTTCACTTTGTGAACAAGGTGTTCACAAAGTGAATCATTTGAGTGCACTTGGTTTCTTTGAAGAACAATGGTTGGTGTTAACAATAACCGGTGTTCACATGATGTTTAAACTTGTTCATGTTGTGTTCACAAAATATCCGTTGTAGTTTTCAATTGGAGTCCATACATATGTTATTCACAAAGTGTCCCTTTAGGTTGTTCACATGGAGTTCACAAATCATCCACTATGGTCTCCATTTGTTGTTCGAATATATTGTTGTTCATAGTATTCACAACTCAAACCAGTAAAAAATTCACAAAATGTTTTTTCTTTTTTATTAGCTGGTGATTAACGATTAACGAAAGAAGAGAGATAAGAGAGGATATTTGTAAATACCCATAATATCCGTTTACTTAAAATTTAAATCAAAATTACTAACTTTCTAATTTAATAGAATTTAATGGCTTAAAATAAAGCTCACAATTCTTACAAATTATCAAGTTATTAAAAGAATTCACATTAAAAACATCAATTTCTGTATCAAATATTTATTGCCATCGACTAGTTGAATCCCACTTGTCAAGAAGTTCTAAAATCTTTCTTTCTCCATCCTTCATGTGGACCACTTACATTCTTATACCCATTATATCTTAATGAATATAAATGACATCCCCCATAATATTATCACTCACCATGTCGAACTACTAAACCCAGTAATTCATGAACACGATAAGCATCATACGTACTGTTTTATATTACTAATGAAGATGGTTTCTTCTTTTAACAAAATGCACATCTTGTTGTGTCTCCTGTTAGCCACCCTGACCACCGGGGCACAAGGTCAAACACGGATTGGCTTTTACGATACAACTTGTCCAACGTTCCAAACCATAGTCCAGACCACGGTTCAGTCTGCTTTCCGAAGCAACCCTGCAGTGGCAGCTGGTTTACTAAGAATGTTCTTCCACGACTGCTTTGTCTTGGGTTGTGATGCGTCTGTACTACTTTCCGGCCCATCAACTGAAAGGACAGCGCCACCCAACCTCTCCTTGGTAGGATTCGAAGTTATTGACGCTGCAAAGTTGCAGATCGAAACTGCCTGTCCTGGAGTGGTCTCTTGTGCTGATATTCTTGCTCTTGCAGCCCGTGATGCTGTGGTCCTGGTAATTAAACTCTTAACACTCTATCATGGTGTCATGTGCATCAAGAACACTACAATAAGATACGGGTGTTTGAAAAAACGTGTCAATAAGTAAAAGCTTTTTACATGGTTTTGGGTAAAAAAAACCAAGACTGTGGATGAATACACATTTGTTGGATGAATTCAAGACTTTTACATATCTTTGCCATGCTTTAAAATTGGTTCTGCTACGGCAAAAGCTGTAGTATATTGCTCCACTGTGGTCTTTAATCCGTTTGCTTGACATCTTGCAGGCAGGTGGAATTGGTTGGCGGGTGCCAACAGGGCGTAGAGATGGATTAGTTTCACAAGCATCTAATACCGTAAATTTACCTGCCTTTAATGACCCTATTAGTGTCCAAATCAGCAAGTT